TCAGGAACTCACAGTATGGGCCTAGTTAGCGGATCACATACTCCTCTATATGTCCCATGGCATGGGGCCCCATCCCTACTCAAAGAATCTTCCTCCAAGAACAATGGGTGACTGGCCTGACTCCCTGTCCGCTGGACATGAACAGTTGTAATAAGTCAAACAAATAATCCAGTCTTCCTGAGCTGGCTCAGATGGTAAGCCAGAGGGAGAAGGAGCCTGCAGTAATCTGTCCTTTTGTAGACCTTTCTGTTGATTTCTTATTTTGTTGGCCAATAATATTGCTTTTGAAACTCAGAAATCACAGCAACCATACAGAACAGGGCATTTTGTACCTTGTGCTGTCCGAGGCATGCCTCCTGCCTGCTGCATGGGGGAAGCACTGCCGAGGAAGGCTGAGAAGTGGTGAGGGAGGGCTTAATTATGAAGCAGCAGAAGGAAGGCTGGCATTCCCTGCCCTAAGGTAACTTGAATGGCATCTTAACAAAAATATCTGATTAATGCTTTCAAGTTTTTAAAGCACTTCCATATAAATCATCCCATTTTAATCTTCCAAATGGCTTTGCTAGGTCAGTCGTGTTATATTCATTTCAGATATTTCAGATTTCTCTGATGCTCAGAGAAATTAAGAAATTTATCCAAATGCCAGAGGTAAGACTCCAACCCTGCCTCTTTTCCAGCCATTGTTCTCCATGGGGGGAAAAAAAAAAAAAAACTTCAATGATCCATCAGCCTGTGGATCTGCCTGGCTCCATCAGGGATGAGTCTGTGTGATCTGCATCTATCTTAGCCAAAGGAATTGTCCCACAATCTAAATAAGAGCATGAGCCCGGTGAGGTAGCACATGCTTACAATCCCAGTGTCTCAGAGGGCCGAGGCAGGAGGATTGCAAGTTAGAAGCCAGTTCAGGAACTTAGTGGGATTCTCAGCAATTTAATGAGATCCTGTCTCTAAATAAGTAAATAAATAAAAAGGTCCGGCAATGTGGCTCAGTGGTAGAGCACTCCTGGGTTCAATCTCCAGTAACCTCCACAAGTAAAAACAGGGCATGGCTCTCAGGGGCCCAGGGTAGTCATTTAAGCCATGCTTTCAGCATTTGAAAGATTTCTTTTTACTAATGCAAACATTCATTCAGAAATCTGGATATTTTACTCTAGCTAGACTCAACTACCTGAGTAATTTTTTTTTAAATATCTATAGACCCATCTTCATTTTGTGCTCTTTTCTTCAAAACATTTTGGTGTCTAGCATAATTATCTGTTTCATTTTCACAATGGTAGAAAAATAAGACACAGAAAAATTTTACTGTTGGCAGTGTTTAAACTACTGAGTAGTTATGAGATTCAAGGCAATTCACTTAACTTTCTAAGCCATTGCTGATTCAATAGAACCTTCTGGAAATGTTCTAGATCTGCACGGTCCTGTATGGTAACTGAGTCATGAGTCTATCCATGATTTAAAATGTTACCAATGTGACTCAGAAACTTTTTAATTTTAACTAATTCAAATTTTAATAGCTGAATGTAGGTAGTGGCCATTGTATCGGATAGAGCAATTCTAGGCTTAGAATCTCACCTCCGAAAGGAAGTGTTCATGCTAGAACTGATCCCTGAGTTTCCTGCTATAGTTCCTAGTAAAGTGATCATACTAGGCACTTTTTAAATATTGATTGAATACACCTCTGGAGAATGAAAGAACAGCCAAATTAATAAAGATATGAACAAATAAATGAATGTGCCTTAAGAGGATATCATAAATGGGATAGAGGATGATTTCCTGGAAAACTTAAAAATCTTTTGAAGGATTAAGAGAAACACTGGCATTGGCTGCCGCTGGGTGGGAACTCTTGGCAACTGTTCACAAGGGAACAGAACCAAGTACCATTCAGATCACACTTGCCTTTCCACTTCCTCCATGCTCAAAACGCTGCTTCCTCTTTGAGGGTATTTGCATACCTCAAGTCTCCCAGTGAGGCAGACTGTCGGTGCTAGACGTACAGGCTAAGAAGAATGTCAGGAAAGAGGGGACAATTGTCAGGAAACCTTGGTGACAGCTGCCAAGATTTCTATTCCAATGCGCAGGAAAGATATTCTTCAGACACAGCTCAAAATAGCCACTGCCCCCAAAGTTGTTGGTTAAAATCCCTGAATGAGTCACAGTGGCCCAACTTTGCTTTGACTCTCCCCTCTCCATTTGTTTGGAGGAATCTCTCCCTTCCTGGTTGAGCTTGGCTCTCACTTCTTGTCAATATTGACAATGACAGGTGCATGAGAAGTTTCCAGAGGGGGTGTCCTGCCCAGGAGGCATACCGCCTTGCTCGAAGACCCAGCCGAAATACTTAACTTTTGTCGGAAACACGAAACATGCCAGGCTTAGCCTGCTTCTCTCTGTGGATTAAATGTTTGTTCCTATAATCTATGAAATTCTTGCTTTATGTTTAAATTTGGAAGAATAATTTTATTGCAGCAAAAATTATGTAAAAGCATTTATCATTTTAACAATTTTAAAGCGTAGAATTCCGTGACATTAGGCAAATTCACAATGTTATGTCACCATCAGCACTACCCATCTCCGAAATTTGTTCATGTACAGCTCTGTCCCTCCTGTACTATATATGAGGAGTTCCTTCATTTCTGAGACTGAATAATGTATTCGACTTTTTGTGTATGTGGCATTTTGTTTATTCGCATTTGAGTTACATCCACCTTTTGGCTATTCTGAATAATGCTGCTATAAATATGGATGTACACGTCTCTGAATCCCTGCTTTCAAATTTTTTGAATGTGTGCCTAGAAGTGGAATTGCTGGATCATATGGTAATACTGTGTTTAACCTTCAGAAAAAAACTGCCTTTACTCTTTAAACCATTCCTAAATTCTTTTTTTCTTTTATTGTTTGGTTCTTGAATTTTATTCCTAATCCTCAACTCCCATGAATGTGCATGTTTCCACCTTTCCATATCCTGGATCTGAGCTTTTCATCGGGAAAAATCTTAATCTTTGATTTCTTTTTATTTTTTTTTAAATGTTAGCATCTTGCCTTTTATTTTAAACCTCATCTAGGTTATCTGAACTCACATGTGTTTCATCCATAAGCTTTTTGCTTCCTTTTAAAACCATCTCCAACTAATCCGTTCTATTTCCATAGTTTAATTTTTTTTACCTGGAAGTTGATGTAATTGACTTCATGAATCTATAAGCTGTCTCTCACTAATTGGCTGCATTTCCCATGGTTACAAATGCTTCCCTTCTGGAGTGCTGTGTAGGGGGTGTTGGGAAGATCATGTTGAATGGGAAGAAAGGAAACAAGTGTGATTAGGATTTGTCATGGGCAGACTCTTAGGCAGAGATCTGCTTCAGAGAATTAATTGGGGGAGGGCACTCAGGTGCAACTCAGTCAGGAATTGAGGGGTTAGAGGGAGAGGGGGAACTGGGGTGCAGTTCAAGTGGAGACCTGAGTCCCATGATCTTCAGAGAGATCCCAAATTGAGGCTGAGGGCTGAGCCTTCACTCACTAGAAGCATCCTGCACCAGGAGGCACAGTCTAGGGCAAGGACGTTCCTTCCCTTTAAAGCAATGCTTGGGAAGTCCTCAGCATGCAGTGTCAACAGGTGACACTCTTTAGATGGGTATGGGAACCTAGGTGGTACTCCACAGCATGCACTACAGGCTCCCAAAAGAAAACTTGTAAAATTCTAGGGAGGTCAGAACCCAGAATCCAGCCCAATGGTGGCCCACCAATTTGTATTAAAATTACCCAGTAAGAAAATGTCATAAGCCCCCTCCTTGCAGAGTGTGTAGTTGAAGGAAGCAAATTTGATATTTCTAATGTACCCCTAACATCACAGAGTGGAGAGCCACACTAGCCTGGGTCAAAATGAGAATACCCCAACATTTTATAAATTGCTTTCACAAGATATAATTGAGGCCTATTTATAGGATCCCACACACACACAAAAATAAAATGTGTAGCAAGTCCTTTGTCACAGTGGATCCAGGGTTTGTGGGGCCTAAAGATCATACAATTTGCGAGGTCTCTTTAAGAAGAACAATATAAGATTATGAATGTAAAATTAGCCATCGTCACCCAAGGCTTTGGAAAGCGCCCTCACAGTCTAAGGGAGGGACACTTCCTGGGAGGAGGAATTTGTTCTGAGGCTACATTCCGCGGTTGAATTACCCTCTTCCTTTAGAGTCCTAAGGAGCTGTTCCTTGGCTGAGTGCCCAGCACGTCTCACCTCAAGGCAGATGACCTCACCTGCACATGCTAAAGATACCCCGTTTCCAGAAACCATTGGACCAAAAGAATGGGGCCAGGCAGATCTGAGCCATGATTTCTTCTTACTGGGAATGAAGGATAAAGTCTATCCTGATAAAAATTAATAATAATAACAACAACAACAACAACAACAGGTAGCGACATTTAGACATTTAACCTGTGCTAGCCCTGTTTCTAAGCACTTTCTATTAAATAACGTGACTAGAGTCTCACAACTAGGAAGTAGCACAGTCAGGATGCAAACCCAGGCTGGGAATCCACACTGTGACAACACCCCCCCCACTGTGCTACTCTACAGGAAGGACAGGGGGGGGGAAACATGGCCAACTGAGGTCCTACAGAAGGGCCCCTCTGTATCAGATTTTCTTAGGGTTGTCAGGTCCTTTGCCAAAGGGTTTTCAATGCTCAAGTAAAGCAACTGAAACCACTCGAGTGGTACTTAAAAAGGCAGATGCTGTACTTACAGTGAATTTTATAGAAGACTCTGTGCTTTTAAAATATAGTCTAAAGCATGTTTTGAAAGGTCAGCCCTTTATTCCTTTCAAGCTAACAAGCCCATCGATACCTTTTGCTTTAGAAATTTCTTTCCCTGTGGATTCAGACCATTTATTTCTGTGGCTGTGAAGAAAAAAAAAAAAAGAAGAAGAAACTTCTGATAACAGTTTAAAATTGATGGATCGCCCTTATCTCAGTAAACTTCGGCTCCACAGCATGGTAACAGAATTCCTTTCTTCTGGCCTGATCCATTTCCCTGACACATGAAGAATGTCTGTCTTACCATTCACTCTGCCCTGCCTGCTCAAACATACAACCTTTTTTTTTTTTTGATGATAATCAGTATTTATTCGCCAGGTTCAGATGACATCCCTGTGACCTAAACATCAGGATTGGCAGTGATTTCCATGGACCTTCATTTCAAGTTTTTAGAAGATAAGTGGATTCCCATGGATAATTCTTTTATAGATAAGATTTATTGCTCTAAATGGAAAAAAAATCTTGCCAAATTTACTTTTCTCAGAACACAGTGGTACTAAACAGAAGCATATACCCTAAATTCCAGGGAAAATTGCTTGTTTTTGTATTTATATTATATATTACATATTGTGGCTGGCTTCTTTTGCATGTGATCTGAGCAAAAAGTATATATTCTCCCCTGTTCTCTTTGCATGGCTTCTCTGGAGCCTATCTGTATTTATGATTATGCAAGGGGCTGAAAATGAATGTATTGGGATTTTTCTAGCTGCATGAGGTACTCTATCAAAGAATCTTTTAAATCTCAGATGTCTCGAAGGAGAAGTTTGGCCTCTTATCTCCTCTGAATGGATTGCCATTACCTTAAAATGATTTTATTCATATTCTGGTCTAAAAAAAATTCAGGGCTTACCCTCCTGGTGCCTTGCTTGACAGAGAAGAAACATGTATAGCAGAAATCAGAAAAGGACATGCAGGAATTTTTCAAATGGATTTATCATAGACTTCTCATTGCCTTAAAAAAAAAAAAAAAAACTCAAAGCCACAGGAAAAAAACCTAAGCAGACAAAAGCGGGTTATGAGGACAGTATAAACCTTGACACTGACCCCTGAGTAGAGTTAGAGGAGCTGGAATGTCATTTTGATGGATCCAATTGCACCATCCAAGTAGAATGAGATAAACGGGCTTGTGTTTAGAACTACTTAAAAGACTGCAAAGAAGTGACTAGATAACACTTGTGCGATACCTACACATTCCCACTACAACCAAAAGAACACAAAGATAACATTCTCTTATTTTTTAAATGGTAAAAAAAAAGGTGCTCAGCGTCACTAATCATTAGAGAAACACAAATAGAAGACACAAGATGCCTCATCCCAACCATTAGGATGTCTAGGATCAAAAACAGAAAATAACAAGTGTTGGTGAGGATGTGCAGAAACTGAAGCCCTTGTTCTCTGTTGGTGGGAATGTAAAAAAAAGTGTAGATGGTATGGAAAGCAGTCTGGCAGGTCCTCAAAAGATTAAAATTAGAATTACCATATGATCCACCAATTCTATTTCTGAGAGCATATCCAGAATAACTGAAATGGGGGACTCAAGCAGGAACTTGCAGATGCATGTTCTTAGCCATTTTATTCACATCAGCCAAAAAGTAGATGGGATCCAAGTGTCCATAGCCCAAAGCATTCACAGCCGGATGTCACCAGCCAAAAGGCAGAAGAATTCCATCATCCTACTGAAAAAGGATGACTGCTGAGGCTGGAGTTTCACTTGCTTTATTATTTTTTTCTCTGGTAAATTTATTGGAGCCATGTTCAGTGATATTGAGTCCTGAACCAATGGATTGGTCCCCAAAATGCTCCTTATTAGGAGATGGGGTGGCCAAGGACACCCTCCAAGTTCCCTTCTAGCTAACATACAAAGTTCTTCTCTCCACACACACATCTAGGAAGGCCATTCACTTTCCCAAGGCAATGCCCATCTGGCCCCTTGTATGGTTTACTATCTAATGAGCTCAGAAAAGGCTCATCCAAGAAGGTGACATTTAAGCAGAACCTTGAAGGAAGGACAGAACTTTGCCAAGAAAACCAAGAAAAAAGGGAATTTTGAGTATATATAAAGAAAAGGAACAAATTGACACATGAAATTCTGAAAGTACCTTTTTTCTATTTGTAAACTCTAAATTGCTAGTTACTGTGTTAAAGTAAAACGACACAACAATAACAACAAAATCCTTCCATCCTTGCTCTCTAATAAGTCTCCAGAATTCCGTTTGCAGGAAAAATCTCCAGGACCCTGAAGAATGGTGAAGTAGCTATGAGTGACAGCTCAAGATGCCCAACTTCTTTGCCAGTCTGAAAGTACCTTTGAAAAGGCACTGTGGTCGGAACAGAGTGAGAGCAGTCTGGTCAGCGAAGATTGAGCCTGCTTAGGAGCCCGAGTGCAGCATCCCCTGTCCTCCCTCCACTGTCTCCTATATTCCTTCAGTCTCACAGACAGGGAGGGAGCAGAGAGGGAGGCTGAGACAGAGACGGAGACTATACATGTGGACTTCTGGAGCTGGCATGTCTTGGAGAGAAATATCTTGGGCTTCAGGTGGTACATAAAAGAAAGGATCCTGACTCCACCCAGGATAGCCCATAGGCATGGACAAAAAGCAAAGGTAGAGAGCCTTTTACCCTCTGAGATGAGACCCCCAGGGGTCAACCAGTCCACTAACTCCTCACTCAAGCCATCAGCCACTAGGGACTGGTGGGAGTGCGACTGAGAGAGCTGGGCTCTGGCAAATGAGTGGGTACAAGTTCATGACCTACTCCATCTTGAAATGTTCCATCTCCTGAAAATCTCTCTCCCCAACCTTCCAGAGAATATGCCATTCTTTTTCATGTTATCTCATTTTTTCCACTACCACCAAGAGAGATAGATATAATTTTCTCTCTCTATTTTACTACTGAGGCTGAGACACAGAAGATTAAGTCATAGTCCAATGTAACTGGGGAAGACTTGTAATAACTATGAATAACAATACCTGAGAAGGAGAGGTTTAAATAAGACAAGTCCAGAGGCAGGTAATTTAGGGCTGACTTGGATGAATTGGGTGATCATTTAGGGATAAATTGCATGGTAACCGGAGACCCAGGTCTTCTCATCATCTGTGCTATGGGATCCTCATCCTCACAGTGCAATAACGGGCCCTGGAGCTCCAGATATCCACATTCTAGCAAGCAATATGGGGGGAAAGAGGAGGAATGGTTAACCACTTTCAATATAAGAAAACTTCCAGAAATCCCACACAACATTTCAACTTAGATCTCCTTAACTAAAATAGTCACATGATTAAACAGTCTTTTAGATAACTGGTGATGCATGCATACGTCATGGTTCTGTTATTTCTAGAAACACGAGAGTGGATGTCCAGAAGGCAACTAGCCAACTCTGCCACTGCTAGAAGGAGGCTTGACCGACACGGACCAATGCACTTCCAAACCCCAATCCAATGTTCTATCCCTTCATCCCACTTCTTCCCAGGAGGAAGGAGCAGTTTGTGCCAAAGTCCAAAGCTGTGGCATTTCAGAGAAGTCCTGGAGTGAGGAGCTGGGTGCAGCAGGCTCACCTGGAGTGCAGTAAGACATAAATGAAGGAGATGTGAGGGAAACAGGAAGAAGCTTGAATGCCGAGGTGAGAAGCCTGAACCCTCAGCCCACAAGGCAGTGGGAGCCACTGCAGGTGAAGGAGAAGAGGAAGACCTTCTGCTTCTCAAAAGGATGCTGAAGATCTTGAAATTGTGGGAGAGAATCCAGTGTTCAGCCAACCTACCTTTAAAATTTGTCCGTTCTGTAGTATTAGGCAAGCTGCTTAACCAATCTATGCTTCTGTTTCCTCATCTGTGTAGAAGTTAATGTGAGTAAAGGGCTGAGAACAGTGTCCGGCATATAGTATGATTATGCCCCACACAGCAAAGTTTTAGTCAATGACCAACTACCTATCCAACAGCAGTCACCTGAGATTATACTGGAACTGAAAAATTCCTATCGTCTACTGACATCACAGACACACTAATACCAGGTGTAATACACTGGTATGTGTTAGTACTAATGTTGGTGTAAACGAACCTACTGTGCATCCAGTCTCATAAAAGCATAGCATGTATAATTATGTTCAGTACATAATATTTGATAACGATGATGAGTGATTATGTCATGGTTTAGGAATTTCCGGTACTGCACTTTTATCCTTATTTTAGAGTCTACTTCTTCTACTTACAAAAAGTTTACTGTGAAACAGAACACTGTGTTACTGTGCCAGTGACATTGTACATCCAGGTTCCTGCATCTCTTGATCCTCATTTTCTCTGGAACCTGATTGAGTCTCTTGTTGTTTCGTTCGTCATGGGCCCTACGTGAAAAGAATCCACCGCTGATGCTGCCAGTTAAAGGCCACATCCAGTGACTGACTTGGAAACAAAATTTAAAATGATTAACCTCTACACGGGTGGAAAACCTGTGGTTATTTCCTGCCAGCCAGCCCATCCCTGGGTCGCATAGCTACAATCTTGAAGAACAAGAGCAAAGCCACAGAAAGGGTCTGCCGCATTGAAGGGAATGAGACTAACACAAATTTGAAAAGCGACTGTATCAGACATGGAGAAACTTCTAATGCCCTGGATTAGAGAGTAGGCACAGAGGCACGTCCCTCTCAGCACCACGGCAATCACAGTTGAAGCAAAAAGGTTGTTTGTGATGTTGAAAGAATAGGTTGGACCTGACCAGAATGCTGAATGAGTACTTGCTCTTGGATGGTTGGAACGATTTGAGAATCATCATTCATTGCATAATGCGAAAGTGAGGGATGAATCTGCGAGCACTGATGTGAAGGCAGCCGAAGAATTTTTGGAAACTCTAGATGAGCTGATTGTGGAGGAAAATTACTTGCCAGAGCAAATCTGCACTATGGATGAAACTTCCCAATTCTGGAAACGGATGCCTGAAAGCCTAGGAGAGTGACAGCCTGAACCCTCCAGGTTTGTGTACATATGGTCTGTGATGCTTGCACAATGACGTAATCACTGATCCTTGTGATTAAACAGCATGTGACTGTATGTCTATGAAATTGCTTCTGTGCTTGTTGCCATTATTATTATAATTATATGAAGCCAAACACCAAGGAAAGGAAGAGATCTCTCAGGGCTGAGAGATACCAGAACAGAATCAATTGGGGTCTTCCTCAGCAGCTCTGCATTGGTTTTCCAGGGACTGGTCCTGGAGAGGGCTTCCCTGTAGCTAGCAGAGGAGAGGGATTTTGGTGAGGTTGGGACTCCACTTCACTCCAGATTGCTCCCCCTCTCAGACATTCCTCAGCTCCTTCTTAGGCTCAGACTCAAGACGTGATTTGTCTTCTTGGAAAGTCCAGCCTGGGCTGAGTCGAGACAGCATCGATTTCATGGCCCTAGGAAAGGAAAGCTCACCTTTCCGTTGAGTCTGGAGCCAGGAAAAAAAAAAGTTGTCTTACCTACCCAGCAAGAGACCAGCAATCTGTTCCCCACAGTTATGCCTCAGTCAAGAGAATCGGTGGGATTTTCCAAGAGCCTCCAAAATCCCAGATTCAGCTCTCTGCATCAAGGAAGAAGAGCCAAATTTAAATTTTTAAAAAAAATAATAATTTTAAAATTTTTTTTAAAAAACTCTCCCTGGGACCTTGAAAATAATATAATTTTGAAAATAAAGTTTGTTTTCAATAGCATAACCCTTCCCCCAGATAATAACGCGGATTCGTTTCAGGAGAATATTGTCGAGATGTAAAACTGGGTGCTGGAAATGATGTCATACTCCAGTGAGTCTGTCACTGATGCCTGAAGGCAGCAGGGAAAGGGTGCTGTGAGTTTGGCATCCGGGTACCATCTCCAAGTGAGGAAAAAGGCCAGCAGAGTGCAGATGGAGATGCAGCGCCTGCAAGACACCTCACTGGCCAGTGTGTGGCGCTGTTGGCCATTGCCTCCTCTGGAAGCTTGCGCGCTTTTTGATTTCCACGATGCTAACTGCCTCTGGGTTTCCCCCCTCTATATTCCCTGTTTAACCGCTTATTCTCGCTCTCTTGGCTGGCTTCTTTTTACCTATCTATCCCTCAGAGTTTGCCAAATTGTAATGAATCCATCTCAAAAGTGTGTCTCAAACCCATCTTCTCCCTTTTTTAGATTTTGAAAAAAATCAAAACATCATTTTAAAAGGCAAACAGTGATGAAATGTTAACTATATAGAGCAGTTGCTGTCTCATCTCCACCTGCCCCAACCCTGCTGCTGTTCCCAAGAGGCAGAGCTGCAGCATAAGGCTGTGCGGTTTGTACAAAACTCGACTGGAGGAGCACTTTTCAAATATGGGTGCTCCTTGACTTATGCTGGTGTCCAAATAAGTCCATCACAGGTTGAAGAAATCTTAAGTTGAAAATGCATTTAATACACTTAACATAATGAACATCACAGCTTAGCCCAGCCTACCTTAAACATGCTCAGAGCATTTGCATTAGCCTAGAGTTGAGCAAAATCATCTAACACAAAGCCTACTAAAGTGTTAAATATCTCATGGACACACACAGGTAGGTGTTCTGTAAGCAGGGAAGGATGTGAACACACAAAACAAAATATCCAAAACACGTGGGCCTTGCAGCACATTTGTTGATATCACTGGTTTGCCCTCATGAGCTGGGGCAGGACTGGGCACTTGAGCTCACTGCTGCTGCCCAGAACCTGGAGAGAACATCCTACCACTCATCCCTAGCTCCAGAAAGGTCAAAATTGAAAGTTCAAAGCACAGTTTTTACTGAATAAGTATCATTTTACACCATCATAGATTCCAAAAAAAAAAAACATAAGTGGAACAAACCATCATAAGTTGGGGTCTCTACCCTGAAAATGCAACAGTGCCTTCCAGAGCTGGACAGTGCCCAACCCTCACCACTTTACAGGGTGGTCTAGACAAGTTAAACAGCTTTCCACTTTTTAAAAAAAATCTATTTCACCAGTATATAATCTTCATGATTTTAAAGAATAAGCTGTTTTCTCAAGATTCTCCACTATCAACTATGCAGTGATTTCCCAGTGGATCAAACTTCCCTGAACCCCCTCCCGTGACTTCTCCTCTTTGACCCTCTCTGCGTAGTTACATCATAATTTTGTTTTTGTCAATATTCAATATTCACCTTATGACAACCATGTGAACACTGTTACTTGCTGAGTCGAGTGGTGTGCTGTTATTATGGCTGCTTCCTTGTTCAACTTCAGGTTTTCATGTGGTTGATACTTACCTCCCTTTGTTGTTATTGTTTTATTGGAGGTTTCTTGGTATACTGTTTGCCAACAAACTGGCTCAAACTTCTCATTTTCTCTTACTTCTGCTCAAATGCAGTTTCCTATCATAATTTTTTTTTCTTGGAGTTATCTCCGGTGCCACTAATCTTCCTGCTTTATGGACTGGTTACTCTCTAGGTCAACTGCAGGATGTTGATCCTAGGGTTCCCTTCACTACCAATCTGGGAATTCCTTCACCTCTCTTGTTTGGGATCCTGTCTTCATGGACTTCATGCTTTTTCTTTCCTTGTTTGAAGTACCATAGTGTCTGGTAACTTCTGAAGACCCAGTACAGTGGACATTTCTGTATGTCTGAGATGTGTTTATCCCATCATCATACATCTTGATGGTTTGACTAGCTGTGTGTTCCTAGATTGGAAATATTGCTTTATAACACTGTCTTCTAGCCTCCAGGGTCTCTGCTGACTACTGACCCTTTGTATTTGACCTGTGTTTCTATCAGGAACTTCTTACCTGAGGTACCGAAATGTCATAAAGACATCAATAGGCCTTTCTAATATTTTTAGATAAAAAAAAATTTTTTAAAGTTAGATTAAAAAAAATCAAATTCTTTGCTTCCCATTTATTTTTTAAGAGTGAGACACCAAGGACTGATTGGAAGCCCTCTGTGACTGGTTATAATCCAACTTATAGATGCTTGCCTTGGGGAAATGCAAAGATGTATGAGTGCACGTGTGTGTGTGTGTGTGTGTGTGTGTGTGTGTGTGTGTGTATTCCTTCACCACCACTAGGATCCCAGGGAAGGTCGATGTAATCTCTTCCATTGGGACTTAAGAGTAGCAGCTGATATTCTCCGAGAAGGAAGCTGTATCCCTCACCATCCAGGATGCAGCGGTTCAGGAAATTCCTCTTTTGGGTGGGCCATCCAAGCTCTCTACCATGCATGGTTTGAGGTCAGGTGTGTTTTCCTCATTTCATCAGTGAGGAGGCATAGTGTCATTCTTCACTTGGCTTCAAAGTGATTTTTAAAGATAAGGAAGCAGAACTGTCCACTTAAAACTAGAAGATCCTCATCCTTGCCTCGCCCCCTCCCCTTCTACTACTTCATTCACATCTTTACTGGTTTCCATGTGTACCTTTCAGGTATCACCTCGCTGCTCTCCTACACTCCAGCTTTTTTCCTTTACAGTCCACCCTTCCCATAAACCAGGTTGATTGCACCCTCCTGAGCTCAGGAACTTTCAGTGACAACCCACAACAAACCAAACTGCATCCTTCCCGATTTGGCTTCAACTCTCTTTTCCAGTCTTGTTTATTTCTATACTCGTAAACCTGATTTTCCAATGAGCATCTCTTGAGAAGTTACCATACACTAGAATCATTCCAATCATTCATAGATACAAAGGTGAAAATACAGTCCATATACCCAGAAACCTCAGAGTCCTCCACCAAAGCTTATGGAATGGATAGATAGAGGCGTGGATGAATTCATAGACTAGTAAAGGAAGATTGCTCTTCTCTTTGCCTGTCATTTGCTTCCCATTCCCATGACTGTAGGCTAAAATTCTATTCATTCCAGCAACAAACCTCCTTTTCTTCATGTTGGAATTAATCTCCTCCACCCACCATGCTTCCCTGAGTACCTTCTCTGTGCTTCTGTTACAACATTAAATCCAAACTGGGCATGGTGGCTCACATCTGTAATCCCAGCAACTTGGGAGGATGAGACAAGAGGATTACAAGTTTAAGGCCAGCCTCAGCAACTTAGTGAGATACTATCTTAAAACAAAAATAAAATGGGCTGGGAATGTAGCTCAGGGGCAAATCACCCCTGGGTCCAATCTGCAGTACAAAGGAAAGGAAGGAAGGAAGGAAGGAAGGAAGGAAGG